TACAAGGACATTCAAAATAAAATATTTTTTTACATACAGATTTAAGTAATTCGTTTTTTCAGATGCAGATGTTATGTTTACAGATTCAGAGCACATTTTTCTCGTCTAAAATCGGTTTCTTTCTCGTTCAGAACGTTTTTCACTTTCAACATCGTATTTCTGCCGCTTCCAGATCTTTTTGTGTCCTACTTGTCCAGTGTTGTAATGTGTGTCTTAAGGAATGGATTGGAAATCAACAGGTCATATGACATGGAAGCTATTGAAAAACACTTTAAACATTTTCTTATAAAAATATTTAAGCAATCAAAAAAGATCACCACATTTATAATATATATATATTTTTTTTATCATGATTCTCACCAATACGAGAATTGTATTATGGTCCTTAAGACAAACTCCTGTATCCTGATACAAAGCTAAACTCTTGTATTCTTGTAGATGGTCAGTAACTCTTTATGCGTGTACAAATTAAATTGACTCACTGTTGTAGGCTTCACAACAATGTGCGATGAGCTTCCTCGCCCCCTGTTCATCAACAATGCCATTGGCCATCATGGTCTGCAGGAACTGTCGATGGCTGTCTCCCATCTGTCGTGACATGACTCTAGACTGATCTGGAGGCACAGAACACAGATGCTTATACTGTCTCCAACCTACAATATATTTGAAAATAGTTATTAAAGTACTTTCAAACCAAACAATCACATGGTTATCCAAATCGCACTGATACAACAAATACCCCCTCCATAAATCCCTATCTTTGGTGACAGCTATCAACATATTTGGCTAAAGCATAAAAAAGTGTAACTATGGTTTAATGCATTGGTGTGAAGTAACTAAGGAGATTTACTCAAGAACTCTACTTAAGTCAAATGTTGCAGTACTTGTACTTAACTTGAGTTATGCTACTTTGTAATTCTACTCTACTACAATTCAAAAGGAAAATGGAATACTTTTACTCTACTTCATCTATGTGGTGTCTTAAGTGAAGATTTTGATTAAAGATGTGAAAGATAATCAAAACTTAAATCAGACTTTAGTTACACCTAGACTCGATCACAATCTATCCGGCAGTATACAAAGTAACTGCAACTTTACCAGCTTTGATAACCCTTTAAAGGTGGGGTAGGTAAGTTTGAGAAACCGGCTCGAGATACACTTTTTGTTATATTCCATGGAATGCTCTTAACATCCCGATAGCAATGAATATCTTTAGTGCTTTGACAAACAATCCATAAAAAAATGTCATCTGTGGAAGCCGTAGTACTGTAAAAAGTACGACCAATCATTTTAGCCGGCCCGGCTAAAATAACTGGATGGCCTACCTGCCTGTCAGCCTTCCATCTGTGCACAAACTTATCTCGTGCCCTCATTGGTCATGTGCGCGTTCTTGTGTGTTGGAGGAGGGGCTCTGTAAGGAAGTGGCAGATTTGTTCCGGCTGTGTATTTTCAAATTCTAGCGAACTCGAGCTGGTTTCTCCTAAATTACCTACCCCACCTTTAATGCATCAATAATTATAATCAAAACATATTATTTCTGAAATGGGCCAATCTGCAGAATGGGTACTTTTACTTTTGATACTTTAAGTATATTTGATGCCACTACTTTTGTACTTTTAGTTGAGTAACATTCTGAATACAGGACTTTTACTTGTAACAAAGTATTCCTACACTCTGATACTTCTACTTTTACTTAAAGGTCCCATGTCATGCTTTTCCGGTTATTACCCGTCCCCTTGTGTGTTATGAAGGTTTTTATGCATGTAAACGGTCTGCAGAGTCAAAACCCTCAAAGTACACCCTGTAGGGAGTAAAACTCTAACACAGAAAATACCTCCCCAAAACGCCTTGTTGGAGATTTCAAATTTTCCATTGTTTACTTCCTGTAAGGAGCTCCAACAAGCCGTTTAGGACAGAGAGTGAATACACATACTTTACAGAGATGCTGTATGAGAAACCAATGTGAGTTTGGAAAATTGCACAGTATAAATCTATTTTAGTATACCTCAACAATGGAATTATGATCAGTAGAAATGGCCATGACATGGGATCTTTAAGTACAAGATCTGAGTGCTTTTTCCACCTCTGTTTTAATGTCTCCCGTTCCATCTTATGAGAATGAATGAGGCTGTAAACGTCTAACAGTTTTTTAGGAAGCGTTAGTAGCTACAGTAGCTAGCTAATGTTAATGCTAATTCAAACTGTTCCACCGTTTGCTGTTTGCTTACCGGTAACAGAGCAGAGACTTCGTCGTTTTTCCGGTTTGTCTAAACAACGGCTCAAATGTTAAATATTTAGAAGATACGAGCCTCTGAAGTTAAGAAAGTAGTGACTGCACTCCTGCAATGCTTCTTCTTCTTCTTCTTCTTCTTCTTCTTCTTCTTCTTCTTCGGTGGTTGGCAAACCAACTTGTAGGTGAATTACCGCCACCAACTGGACTGGAGTGTGGACAAGAGACTGCAGAAAACAATAAACAAAATAAATAAAATAAAGAACCAAAACTCTAGATTATTTTAAATGGATCAATTCCTCTTAGAAACGTAATAATCTCACAATACATATTGCCTGATGTTTTCCCTAACAGCCCTGATAGCGACAAGTCATGGAATGTTGCTTTCTTCAGTGTCTGGAAAAGCACATTTCTCTGAGTACTATATTTCCTGCAAAGCAGTAAAACATGCTCAACAGTTTCTGGCTGGCGACCGTCGTAGCAGCTTTAAAATCAGCTGTGGTCTAGAGAGAATAATCAGTAAGGTAACAAATTTACAGCAACACAATATTCGTATTAAAAGCAATACGGATCTTTATACTTGCAAGTAGACGTCTCCTCCAAAGAGCACGTCCTGTTCTGAGTGAAACAGGCTCTCTTTATAAGAGGACATCACCAAACAGATTTACATTACATCTATGTTCATAACTCTGAGTGTTTGTTTGGCCAGAATATCCACCTGTTCATTACCCTCCACACCAACATGAGCAGGAACCCTCCTGCAATGCGCGCCTCCTCTCCTGTTTTGTGTTTACCTTTCTTCTTCTACTCTTCCTTCAACTTCCGGTACAGACGGCTGGTGTATTAGCGCCACCTACAGCTCCGGAAAATGAACAAAGGAAATGAAAATAAAATACAATTACTTAATCTCTTTATGCTGCTTCCCTTTTAAAGCTCTGACTCTGCCACAGTCATGCAAGATATAAGTAATCATGAGGACAGAGCTGTACTTGTATGTGTTTAACTAATTGCAGTAATGCTGTGTCCTGTCATACACACACTGTAGTGGTGTGAATGAGGTATAAGAGAGATTTTCCTTTTGGCTCTGTCTAGATACGAATTCATTTCATTTGAATCAGCCCTTGAGCTTTGAACCTCAGATCCTCTGTACCTGAGCACATTGGCCTTTGCTGTATAAGCAGCAATTCCACTTTGCAATTCAAGCCACTCCTTGCGTTGTCTGATCTGCTCCTCTTCACACTTTCTGGCTGCTGCGAGGCTGCTCTTCACACTCCATTGCATGTTTTTCTTTGAGGATAGCCGCCATAGCACTGAGAGCAGCCGCTTCAGCCTCCGCCTTGATACATGCAAAGAGATGGATGACATTTTGGACCTGTGGCTGGAGCGGCCAGCTGATGTGCATGTTCTTCCGGTTACATTAGAAATGCTGTCATTTGGACAGATATCATCAATTATCACATTAGTTTTGGTTGCAGCATTGACATTTACCACATCATCATCAATTGGATGTGTAAATTGCTCCTTTGTAGTTTGCAACCACCTTTCCATTGTATTCATAATTTCTCGATTGCTGTGCATTCGTGTTTCAAACCATTCATTTTGTTTTATAACTTCATCCTCTGGTATTAATGGTTTCAGTGACTCATGCAACTCATTTAATTCGATCATTGTTTTCACAAACATTTCACACATGGATTCCACCTCAGACACATTTTGGCTTGAAAGTATCAATTGTTCAACAGCCTTTGTTAATTTATGCAGTTTCTTTATCGTTGAATTCCTTTAATTTTGAATTGATGCTATTTTTGACCGAGCCCACTCTCTGTATCACTTTGATTGGCAGGTGCTTTAGGCCGACTCCCCTCTTGGCTCATTTTGACAGTAACGCAGCAGCTGCGGGAGGTTTTATTTTAGAATTGTCGCAGGATTTACCATTATCCTGATATGAGAAGGTCTTTCACAGCTTGTAACAATTCTTAACGATCCTACCGTGGTTCCGCGTGGCTTTCACAGCGTTCACATGTCAGCAATCATCTGGAGCTGTGTGGGAGCGCAGCAGCTCCTTCTTCCGTGTCCGAGATCCTCCGATTCATTCATTGGAGCGTGTTTTTCAACAAGTGTAGCGGCGATCGCTCATCGAAAAAGGCCACTCATGGAGGTTAGCAGTCAGAGTTCCCAACGCGTGTTGTGGTGAAGGATGAGGTCCACCATGACGTAATTTATAATGCTTTATGTATTTGTCCAAGGTTAAAAGTTCTTTTACGACTCATTTATCTAAAATCTTGTTTAAAACATAACGATCACGCACACGCTCAGACACAAACAATCACGGTCAACACGGTTGAAAAACGTGTGGCTTCCTCTCTAACCTCTCATCCCAGCTGATCACCTATGCCGATCACCCGTGCCCACATATATAGGTTAATTACCTCCCGTGCTCCCAGGTGCGCAGATTGGATGATGACGCGTTCACACACAAACCCCGTGCACAACCCAAAGCAAATTGGCTCCAACACACACCACTAAGTCACTTTGGAAAGGTTGTGTTAGCTTCCAGTTGTTAGAGTAAGGTCGTTGAGTTAATCCATAAGGATATTATTGGATTCTAATAAAATTATTGCATCAGATAGGAATGCCATTTTTTTTTTTAAGTGACTATTTGTGATTTAGTGATGTTGAGAAATCAGGTCATTGTGATATGGTAGCTTCATACATTTAAACTGGAAAATGTTCATTAACACTTGTAAAACAGCAAGAAAAAGAAACACGATTTATTCTAAATGCTTTATTACTCTAACAAATTAAATAAGAACATATAATACAAGGTGTCCAAGTCTTTGATTACAATAAAGCCTATTATTAACATTATTTAAATACAGTATCCAATGTCAGTATTTTACTGCAGCATTTAACCTAATATTCCTCAACATTTTCCAAAATCTGAGGCTTTTCCCCAAAAATGTCATGTCCAAAAGATCGCCAAAATTGTTGGGTTATCATCATGGTGCCGTCATGATCAGTATGTTTACATGAACACAAATAACTTGATTCATTGTAAGAGCACAGAAGGTAGACGTGTAATCAAACCGTTTATATGGTTTACTGTTCTCTGAATTTCAGCCTCAGCTTAAAACGGTTATGATGTTAATATGTAAATCAGAGTATTGCCTTGGAAAGTTTAATCAAAGTGTTCATGTTTGTGCAAGCACACTGATGTCATGGCTGTGTTCATTACTTGAGGGGACCCCACAACCTGATAAAGAATCAAACAGCCTAAAATTCATACGCATTTTAAACTTTTAAGCTCTTCTGACAACACTGCCCAGTCCTTGCTTCTTTTTTTGTTGAACAATCTTAAATTGTTTTGTCAAGTTACAAAATTAGGAATGCCAGGAACTGATGATGTTAAAGTGACAATGCCACTTTTGAGTTTCATTTAAATGTCTAAAACCACCAATCCAATGTAAACAGTAGATCACAGGTTGTTCTTCTCTCTGTCCAGTAGGACCTTTCTGTGATATCAAAGCAAGGACTTGACAATGATCTCAGAGAGCGAGGAAGTACAGACACCAACATTAGAATTTTAACAATAATTTTATAGTGACTTTTACTTGCTCACTGCAAGAAAAAAAAACAATGCCAGATTGGAATTCCCGTGTTCACATCACCAACCACTCTAATCAGTTGCAGGTGATAGAAAATCAGAAAAATAAACTCTTCGTCATAACGGTCAAGTCAAAACTTGACGAACAGCATGTGCAATAGAAATGATCCACATTGTGATCAATCCTTAGTAATGTGGTTGGAAAAGTGAGGCAAGTGTCACTCCCAGTTTTGTCTTCTGGTGGTGACTCAATAGCGTCTCCATCTTGTTTTCACACAATCCAACTTCAACAGTATTTTAAGCCCAAGTCTGGGCACAGTCAATTTCTTGTTTTTTAGCCCACTCCTGCCATCACCGTATTCCTATTTCTCAATTGCCCATTGTTGACTTAGTGTGCTTTTCCCCCTAAAATGTCTTTATCCCTCAAGTTGGCAGCAGTTAGCTGAGAAATCTTCAACCTGAGGAGAAAAATAAAAGATGTTACGAAATAATGACAACAAATTGTTTCTCATAAAAATGGAGGAAAGCAAGAGGGCTGTCTGTTCTGAAACTGTCAGCTGAAAATCCCCAGTTCCCCTTCACAAAGACACACATTACTGTTGGGGTGTTACAGTCTTGGTACAGTGTTTTGTTCAGTGATAACACTTGTAATTGGTGAGCGTGTGTTTGTGTTGTACCTTGTGTTCTAGTGGCTGGTAGGAAACTGTCCATGTGTGTTAAGCGAATGTTGCAGCTTTTCCTCTTTGGCCCTTCTGCTGTGGCAGAGCTGTGGAATAACACAAAAACAGTCAATACAACTTTATATATTGCACTTCTGATCACATTCAGACCCAAGTACACAATAAATCAGGACCATTTTGACACACGTAGTGCACTGCTCACCGTTCTCTTATCCATAAAGCTGGTGAGGAATTCGTCTATGTCCGTACGTCCCTCCAGGAAGTTTTCAGCTGTCTCCTCCGACTCCTCCTCAGCTTGGTGGGCTGCAATTTTTAGCCGAGCCTGTAGAGTACTTAGACTGCAACTCTAAAGGGGTATAAAGGAGGAAAAGACAAAAGTAAGAAACTGAAAGACAGGACTTTTCAGGGCAGTCTTTCATCAATGTTTGGGTTGGTTTCTTTAAAATCTTTAATTGGTAAAACCAATGTGGTCGGAGAGCATGATCACATCAAAAAGCAGAAGAGCATCCTCAGAACAAGTGCTTATGTCTAGTAGAAGACGGATGTTGGCATGTGGTTTCAGTTCAAACTAAACAGCAGTACTGCTACAATTCAAGGAACAACCCCAATGTTCAGTTTTGAGTCATCAATATAGTACAAATTGAGCAGATTTAACACAAAAAGGTGCATCTGCAATCAAAAGCTTTCATAAATCAAACCACAGTATGATCTTACCTCACTGAGTTCATGCTGTCTCTGCATCCTTGATTCAAAGGCAGACTTCATCTGAGTCAGCATTTCGTACTGTTAACAGATACAAAACATACATAAGATAGAAGAAAATATCATGAAAGTGGTATTTGTTTGTGTCTGTTTAACATAGGGAACGGAGTAGACTGGATGTAATATCTGACCTTGTAGAGCATTTCTTGTCTTCTTCCGTCCAGCTGTGGCTCCATCTGAAGATTTTTCTCTGTAAATGAGAGAAACGCAGAAGTCTTTGTAACGCTCAACTAAATGTAAACAGTTTTTCATGATTGACCATTAAGACCTCCTGTCCAGGTCCAGAAGAGGAACTTACTAGCCATGTCCACAATATTGGTGACCAGCTCTTCTTTATCACTGGTCACCTGTTTCAGTTGTGGCAAAGTCACAAAGAACTCCAGTAACATGTCCTCGTTTTCAGACATGTCCGACAACTGTGTCCCACTAGGGTGGGATACAGCAAAGGCGGTAAAGATGGGTAAATGTAGAGCAGGAAGTGAGAGGACAAGAACAAATATATTAAGTATGGGTGCAACAAAAACGATGACTTGCTTACACAATGACTCAATTCATATTATAAACTATGTTTTAATTTGAAAATATTTGGGAATACTTTACTTCAAGTCACAGAGTTCAGGAAAAGACTCAGGAATCTCAGGCATCCTGTACATGTGTCCGTTCAGTCCAGCCTGAAACAGACAGCAGTGGTATCAGCAAATCTCATTGTCCAATGCATTTATGTCAATGTCGATCCCAGCTTTGTCTGTACCAGACCTATCAGTTACCGGGAACGATAACTAAACTGAAAACTCTGCTTGGAAAATTATGGGTTTTAAGAGTGTCAATGTTTAAGACCACTTGTTTTACCACTCACTTTAAGTAATCGTTTCAATGTATTTAAGATCAAACGTTTATTGTCATTTGCAAAAAAAGCTACAGTGTAGCTGTATCTATTAAACACATATGTTATCAACCCACTAATGTTCATTATCCATTATCAGCATACCTCTGAGTCTCCAGTAGGAACAGGCAATGGCAGGTCAGATATCAGTCCGTATGGGGCTGGAGCTCGAGGCGGCCCATGGGCACTATCGACTCCTGGATGAGGCATAAGAGCTGGAGCTGGGCCGGGAGGCGGAGTGTGGCTGGGGCCAACGTGGCGGGGCCCATATTGGTAAGCCTGAGTGGGGTAAGGCGCCATGCTTGACTGCTTGTACATACTGCTGGGCAAAACCGGGAGAAAAATATCAGTTTTATTTTATTCATCAGCATCATTGTAAGAAACTTGGGATATTAGGAAACCATTGGACAGAACGTTTTAATTGTGATTATTATGGAGAAAGCACACATGCCTCAGACATGTTTTAGGAAATCAACTTTCAATTAATATCTCTGGAAGTAAAAAAACATACGATATCGTGCCAAATTTCCCTTAATGACCAAATGGTTTTTAGAGCTGCTTTCTTCTGCACTGCCCCAATTAAAACATAACTACAATTTGTCTGTAATAATACCCAGAGCAGCAGAACACATTTGTTGTATTGCAGTAATGATAAAAGACTTGACAAGTGTGCATGAATGTAAGAGGAAACTCACTATGGAAAGCCAGCAGTGCCGCTGGACATCAAGGCAGGAGGACTCTTCCAGAACTCGTCCAGCAGACTCTGAATGACCTTACCCAGATCTGAGTGCATCCCAAACTAAACACACAAAGACATTTTGAGTATTAAAAAACACAGACACGAAGAAGAAAAATTATGAAAACCCCAAAAAGTGAATATTCTTTATTGAGAGTATGAGGCACGGAGAGAAAAAACTAAAACAAGTTGATGTCATTGGGATAAACCAGGAGAGGGCTTGAAAACCCATGATATTTTCTCATGCCACAAGTATCTCTTTTATAATCAGGTTTTGTATTTGCTGTTTTGGCCCTATTTGTAAGAGTAAACACTTCCATGATGAACCTGGATAAGCCCTTCTCCTGGTTTTGGTACAAAATGAGAGATAGTGGCTGAGATGTTGAAGGGACAACTCAATGCTGGATAGACAAAGATGATCAAAAACCTGCGTTATGAAGGAATCATAAATACAAGACATAACAAACTGCTGCTCATCAGCAAAAACTATTTTCCTTTGACTCAATCATTTCAGTTTGAGTCAAATTAAAATATTTGGGACACAGCTTTGAGTAATTATCTTTTCCTTACAGTCCCTGTGCGGTGTTTCATTAATCGGCTTGTATTAACATTGCCCACTATTAAATTAGGTCATTGTTACTGAGTGTCAGCTGTCAAAATAATGTCAGCCCACTTTTATGTCACATAACCTTGTACTACTAATACTACCAATTAATCAACAGGAGAGATCAAACATTCCTGGAAGCATCTCTTGAAACCAAAATACCTACTTACATTAGCTATGAGGGGGCTGGTTATCATGGTGCCATTGTTACCATCGACTAAATGATGACCAACAGGGGGGTAGACACTAACCACCGGCTTCTCCTGGGGGAACTGAGGAGGCAGCAGTCTAGAGGAAAGAAAATGAATCATATGAACAGGATATATAACAAGTTAGAAGTGTGAGTATATTGCCCAGCTCTGTGTTCTTAATTCAAAAGCCTGAACATCACAGGAAAAATGGTAAAGGTCTATTTCTTTGTGAACAGCTGATTAGTTCTCTAACCGAAGCCTGTCGTACGTATCTAAAACTTATACTTACACATTGACACTAATGGTCGAGTTGTTGACAGTGAATGGTATTCTGTACTCCACATCCTTCTGGATCTCTGCGAGGCTATTGGGAAAAATAAATAATCAGTAATCATGATCAGTACATAACAAATGGACGTCCTCCATCAATTTTTATGAACATTACTCTGGTTTGGTGACAAATAGATACATAAAGAGAGGGCTTCAACGCCCATTCTCACCCAATAACACTTACTTCTGAGCAAAACAACATAGTAACAAAATGTAGAAGCAAATGTATTGTAATTATGTTCATCCCAGAATTAATTTGTCTCATTGTATTACCACCACAGGATGTTCCACCTGTAACAGTCAACCGCTGTTAGTGTCTGTTATGTTATTGATTTACTGTTTACTGCAATCATGGCTAGTAAGTTGATATCCGTATCAGGATAACTATCAGATTTTTCACCATTCTATACATCATAGTCTACTTTACAGCAAATAATTTAGCCCTAAATAAGACACATGTATGTTAAGAAGCTGTGGCTTTACAACCACACCTGTACACTGTATTTTAAGGAGTAAAAGACTGTACCTTTCAATGTATTACTTAAAATAACACATTAGCTGTTAAGGCCTCTGAAATCCCATGAGCCTCACAGCCATGAGAAACACAGCCATCACAAAGTGTGTCTGATCTAATTTATGAATTTCACACACATACTCTACATCAGAAGTGAGATTACACTGAGATGAAGAAATGCACTGAGAACTGTTTGCTGACAGTTGTTGTCCAACTGAGTAGAAAGACACAGCTATTTGTCACCAAGATATGGAGTACACAAAGGCTTTAAGACTTTAATCTTCACGTCTAACAAGCTAGCTCCTCCTAAAACTGCATGCGCGGTAAACACCGGAATGATCACAGGACCAGCGAGCCACAACACGTGTCATCATCCCTAAATATAGACACTGGAACTGTGACAGGCTGACTTGATTAGCTAGCGATCTAACACAGCTAGTTAGTTAGCTTTGAGTTAGCAAACATTAGCCGCTCAAAGACCACACCGGGGCATGTCAAAGCCGTGGTTGTGGTTTCACGTACATTCTTGGGTATAATTATGATACACTATCATACTCACAATGACACATTTAGGGTAAAACGAGACTACAAGCTTTATTATTTGTTAGCATAACGTCTTTCTTACGATTCAACTGTGAGCTCGGTGGCTAGCTATGCTAAGTAAACAACTACTGGCAGTAAACCTAGTTAACATGTTTAATCAACCAACTTTAATGTTATTAAAGTGACCAGGAAACCTTCTATTGACCATATATAACGACACAGTTAACACGCTAACCAGCAGCACCAGGGTCTGTTAGTGACAGGGTGCCGTTCACTTCACCTGGGGTGAGCGGCTTTGAGAGACTCGATCTGCCGCTGTCTCTGTTGCTGTAGGCTGTTCAGAGGGAGAGGTCCGGAGCCTTTGGACAGGGGGAAGAGCCAGTTCATCCTCTTCTGGAGAAACCACGGACTGATCTCGGTGACAGGATGTAAAGGCCGGCTACAGATGAAGAGAAAGTGAGAGTGTGTTGATCTGTGGCGCTAACCCCTGTTAGCTGTCTGACTAGCGACTCTGTTTGTTGTCCACACGGGGTTTACTTTGTAGTTACGTTACAAAGTCTGATGGCATGTCCTTATTTTTGTCGAATAAAACGTAAATTCCGTGTTATCTCCAAGCGTTTTCATATAAGTTCAGCGTTGTCATTAGTAGTACTGAGGTGAGAGTAAGTAAAGCTGAAGGAAGACAATAACCTTCGGGCAGCTTGTTCAACTTATTTACGTATTACGTAACGCAGCAATTCTGCGTAAAACGCCACATCCTGTTTTCATGATTGAAGTTGAAAAAAATGATAATGATGTAATGTAATGATTCAAAACGAAAAGAGCATAATTTTAAAAGAGTGTTTCACTATTAATCATTCCTTTCTGGAGTTTTATTATAATACAAATCTGAATTCCTTCCTTCCGCAACGGGGAAGTTTACATTATTACAACAGCTGAAATATAGTGCTATAACGTTATTAGTTAAGAGAATCAGTGGCGTTTTTATATGTACAAAAGTGGTGGGGCACAAAAAACGTAGATGTTTATATAAGCTTCTGCAGTGACGTGCAGTGAGGTTCATGGCTGGCGAGGCACTGGCACTGACTCTTCAGGTTTACAAATATTATATTTTGACCTAAATCAAAATATTGTAGTGACCACTATTTAACTAGGGTACATAATTCACGCATGGAACTACAGGTTGGGGGTATTGTTTCCGCCCGGACATATATGTTGACGGTACCTCCGGGGTACCTACTGTGTGTGTGTCTCTTTCACTTTCTCTTGCTCTTCTCGGCTCGACCCGACAGCATGTCGATTTCTGCTCCTCAATAAAGCCAGATTTGTACCTCCGATGCACCGCCTCCGACTCCCTTCTCTCGGCACTACAGTGCTGACCCTGACATAAGTCTCGCGAAGGTTCCGGGACTGTACCGAACACGGCAAAGAAACTCTTGTTTTTTCTCGAAATGCCGGGGATTTTTGGAGACCTCCGTAGCTGCCACGTGCGCACGGACTGAGGCTCGGTGCGCCCCACGGAATGGCTGGGAACGTCGCTCCCCATTCCCGCTTCGTCTCGGCACTGAAGGGCAGCAAGCCTTCCTGCTACGAGGGAACGATGCACGACCTGCTGGGTATGGAGGGACCCGACTTCTGCCTCGTGGGGCTGGTTCTTCGGGACATGCTGCATGTCCGGGCTGCGCTAGCTAACTCGGCTAGTGTTGAGCCCCGCGCTTTGGCCGAGGATGCTGGCCGGTTCCTCCTGGCCGCCCCGCGATTTTCCCCCGAGGTGCTTGCCACTGCTCGCTGCAGCACCTTCCCTGGTGGGGGCACGCCGCCTAGCAGAGGCTCCGGGGACGACGACGACAGCGACTACCGGCCGTCGAGACCGGCTGGCCTCGACGGCTAACGACAGCTATCGACATCCGACTGGTTTTTTATTTTTGTTTTGTTTTTTGTGGTGCCGGAGAGGAGGTTCGATCACGTCTGGTCGGCCTCGTGTGGATCCTCTCACGATTTCGCCCACCTGTTTTTGATCGTGGACAGGACGACCTTTTGAGTTTTTTTCTGGTGTCTGAGAGGAGGTTCGACCATGTCTGGTCGGCCTCGTGTGGACCCTCTCGCTGTTTCACCACCTCGACGGCGGTTTCGGACGTCACACACGCCTTCTTCGGCCCGTGGGTGGCGCGCTTCTGGACCCCGTCTCGCCTCGGCGGTTCCGGACGTCGCCCATGCCTTCATCGGCCCGTGGGTGGCGCGCTTCGGGACCCTGCCTGGCCTCACCTCTGACCGTGGCTCACGGTTCGCCTCGACGGCGCCCCGTCTGGCCTCTCCCCTGTCCATGGCTCCTTCCTTCCGGGGACACGGCTCCTTCCTCCCGAGGACTTCGTGCCCGCCGCCGCTGTGCCTTCGCCTGCGGCCGGGCAGCGCTCCTCCCTGCTGGGGACCACCGGGTTTTTCACGCCTGTCCCCTCGTCGCTACACGGCGACCCTGCTTTCTGCGGCCCCCTGACGTCGGCCCGTTCCGGCCCGCCCCCCACCCTCCGGTGGGGATGCCCTCGCCCTCGTTGGGGCCCCTACCCTCTTCTGTGGCCCCCTGCGACGGCCCGTTCCGGCCCGCCCTCCGGTGGGGATGCCCTCGCCCTCGTTGGGGCCCCTGCTCTCTCCTGCGGCCCCCTTCCAACGGCCCTTTCCATGGCCCGGCCCTCGACTGCGGCCCCGCCCTCCTCGGCCCCTGTGGTGCTTCCTCCCGGACGCGAGGATTGTGTCCATGGTTGAATTCTGGGGGGGCTTGTGTAGTGACCACTATTTAACTAGGGTACATAATTCACGCATGGAACTACAGGTTGGGGGTATTGTTTCCGCCCGGACATATATGTTGACGGTACCTCCGGGGTACCTACTGTGTGTGTGTCTCTTTCACTTTCTCTTACTCTTCTCGGCTCGACCCGACAGCATGTCGATTTCTGCTCCTCAATAAAGCCAGATTTGTACCTCCGATGCACCGCCTCCGACTCCCTTCTCTCGGCACTACAATATTCTATTATTTTCAAAAGCTTTTTTAGTCTGATGCTTCGATTAATTTAAACAGACAGTTCAACAAAAGGTTACCCAAAAAATTTAATTTGATCATTTACATATTGGATTGTTCTCTCTAAGATCCCTTTTTCAAAACAATTGTGGTCTTTCCTTGACTTGAAGATGAAGATCCATGCTATCCTTCTGGACAAAAATCTCTTAACTTTTTTGTAAAAGTCCTCCTTATCTTCTTGTAGTTTCAAAAGTTGAATCATAAATCTAATCGATAGATTAGATTTTGTTTTAAATATTGAAGTTAAAAGCATCCATCTGGTGCACTTTGAGAGCAAAATGAAGAGATCTATGGATACATCTCAACACCCATATGAAACAGAACTGTTTCAGAACCTCTCCTTCCACAAAGCCACTGACTTCATGTGCTCTTTGCTTGATTCATGCGTTCCAGTCCCTTATCCCTCGTACCAACCATCGGAGAAGGGGAAAAATCGGCCCGAAGCGCCAATAGTCTGGCCCCTTCTCCCGTTGGCACTCTGTCATTTTTTTGACAATTTTTCAAAACTTCATTTTTGATTATTTTAAGTTATAATTAAGCGTTTTCTTCAATTTTTTTTGCTTTCCACGGGTGGGGGCGCCTGGCAGGCCGCCTATGAGCACCCAAATTCGGCCTGGATCATCCAGGATTTGTGGGCTAAGCTCCATAAACTGACTAAATCACCCAGAGAGGTCACCTTTCTAGCCCAAATATATATAATACAAATACATTTAAATAGTCAAAGGTGCACTTGTGCTCTGCATTACCCGGAATTTTATTTTCATAGCCCCATGATAGTGATTAAAAATCATTTTCATGGGAAAAAGTGTTAAAACGCCTGATTAAATTATATGCAGGACCCCAGTGAGCTCCAGACTATGTGCATTGTGTTGGGGAACCATATAAATGATAGAATAAATGCATTTAAATGCAAAAATAATGATTTTAAAATCATTTTAGGGGGACAATTGTGGAGAGGAGCCTGAAAATGACTCTGCAGCAGGCTGCCTATGAGCACCCAAATTCGGCCTTCTTCACGGAACCACGACCCCTTCTGTGGAGGGTATTCTCGTGCCCCTGGTGAGCACACAATGACCCAGGAAAGAGTCTTCAAAACACAGGTAAAAGTGTGTTAAACAGTGGGGTAACATGTTTGAAATGACAGCACACTGCTGCTTGTTGGCAGGCTGACTCACTTGACTTGTCTCACACACACCCAGGGGGGGAGAAAGAGGACACATTGACCCAGGAAAGAGTCTTCAAAACACAGGTAAAAGTGTGTTAAACAGTGGGGTAACATGTTTGAAATGACAGCACACTGCTGCTTGTTGGCAGGCTGACTCACTTGACTTGTCTCACACACACCCAGGGGGGGAGAAAGAGGACACATTGACCCAGGAAAGAGTCTTCAAAACACAGGTAAAAGTGTGTTAAACAGTGGGGGTAACATGTTTGAAATGACAGCACACTGCTGCTTGTTGGCAGGCTGACTCACTTGACTTGTCTCACACACACCCAGGGGGGTGAAAGAGCACACAATGACCCAGGAAAGAGTCTTCAAAACACAGGTAAAAGTGTGTTAAACAGTGGGGTAACATGTTTGAAATGACAGCACACTGCTGCTTGTTGGCAGGCTGACTCACTTGACTTGTCTCACACACACCCAGGGGGGGAGAAAGAGGACACATTGGAGCACACAATGACCCAGGAAAGAGTCTTCAAAACACAGGTAAAAGTGTGTTAAACAGTGGGGTAACATGTTTGAAATGACAGCACACTGCTGCTTGTTGGCAGGCTGACTCACTTGACTTGTCTCACACACACCCAGGGGGGGAGAAAGAGGACACATTGACCCAGGAAAGAGTCTTCAAAACACAGGTAAAAGTGTGTTAAACAGTGGGGGTAACATGTTTGAAATGACAGCACACTGCTGCTTGTTGGCAGGCTGACTCACTTGACTTGTCTCACACACACCCAGGGGGGTGAAAGAGCACACAATGACCCAGGAAAGAGTCTTCAAAACACAGGTAAAAGTGTGTTAAACAGTGGGGTAACATGTTTGAAATGACAGCACACTGCTGCTTGTTGGCAGGCTGACTCACTTGACTTGTCTCACACACACCCAGGGGGGGAGAAAGAGGACACATTGACCCAGGAAAGAGTCTTCAAAACACAGGTAAAAGTGTGTTAAACAGTGGGGTAACATGTTTGAAATGACAGCACACTGCTGCTTGTTGGCAGGCTGACTCACTTGACTTGTCTCACACACACCCAGGGGGGGAGAAAGAGGACACATTGACCCAGGAAAGAGTCTTCAAAACACAGGTAAAAGAGACTCGGCGATGGTACCATTGGATGCGGGATACGTGGAAATGGGGGGGGTACAGAAAGGCCTGAACCGAACAGAGCTTGTCATCAAAAGTTATGGATTAGTAGCAAGATTTCACAATGTAGCTCTCCAGAGTGCTGAAGCGTAAGCTGGTAAGCTGGTAAGCAGAACGCTACTTTTGGTAAGCAGCACAGTTACTTCGTGGACACAAATCCCATCCGCTTATACTGGCATTGTACATTTATGGTAGGATCAGGGATGGGCCAGTTACTTCGTGGACAAAAATCCCATCCGCTTATACAGGCATTGGACATTTATGGTAGGACAAGCCAGGGAAGGGGCCATAATCCTGGGTATACATTTTGTAAATAGTGCAATACCTCCAAGGCGCATAACTGCACTTTACAAGCCAGGGAAGATGCCTGAATCCTGGGGTAAACATTGTTTAATTGTTTAAGTGTTTTTAAATGTATGGAACAGTGTTTTGTCTCTTTCAAAACTCTCCCGTCATTGGCCGGATACATGGGGACGATTTTATATTCACTATGACCGTTACTATTCCAGTGAGACGAAGTACGTCCAGTGACGGGAGTGATCCCATGTTAATTTTGTCCGAAAACCAGAGCATTCCCTTATCCCGAAGAAGCAAAGAACGATCATCAATGACAGAGAGCATATGAACTGAATCATTACTCTGTGTCCGCTTCACGCTCAGAAGGGAATATCACGTCTCATCATCGTGGGCAGCGAGACCAATCACTTTAGAAACACATTTCTCAAGTCAGAAACTATAGAAATGATCCCTGAAAGTATAGTCTTAGTTTGTTGAAGGGCGAAAACTGCATCTGATTCACAGGAAACGTACTATCACTGAGGGTTCCTGCCTAACAATAATAAACGTGTCCATTTCGTCATGTCATGTGATTGATGTTATTAACAGCAATGCAAGTTAGCTTGTGGCAAAGCATCAATTATCCTTATGATAAACAGTATGACCTTTAACGTAAGTTAAACCATGCCTGTATCAGATTCAAGTTAAAGCGCAGAAACAGTGACCTCTATAGGAGAACACAGCAAATAGCTGCAGGGGAAAACAAGCGCAGTTCAATCCGCAGCTGCTGAGGACACAGCAACGAGGTGAAATTGACAATGGCCCTTTCTCATGTCTTCAAATGTTCCTCCTCGACTCCCCTCCTCGACTCCTATCCTCGAGACTTAGTCCCGCCCACAGGAGATGCGAGCGGAGGAGCCGAGGAGGGGAACCGAGGAGAGAGGAGGGGAAGCAGCAGGTGGTTAGAGAAATGAGAACTCCTCTCCTCTGAGTGGTCATATTAAAGAGACGTCCGTTAATTATGACAGGAGGCACAGCAGCCCTCTGTCTGATGGACAGATGTGTTCATGACGACTTATATATTTACTTTTAATTCATTCACAGTGCGGTATAATGAGACAATAACAGGCTACAGATGCGGACATACACACAGACACACACACACACACACATATATGTATATATTTATATAAATATATACAATTTCAGAATCAAACAGAGCACTCTCATAATAACGTAACACTATCAGAGACTGGATATATCCCCCCCCCCCCCTCTCTGGTCGCTACAATGAGGGAAATAAATGACGGGCCAAAAGTTTTATTTACAAGTAAGCAGAGGACACCAAACCAACTGAGACCTGTCTGTCCGCTGCATCTACGCACACACTGCACCACACACACCTACACCACACACACACACACACACACACACACATACACCACACACACGCACCTACAGCTCCTAAAGCATATAATCAGGCTACAGCCGTTGTGTATTTTATTATGTGAAGCACTAAATGGTTTTAGAAAAATATCGACTTTGTTTGTAGATATCTACTAAACTAAAGCAAATAAAGAGAGTAGGCCTGTTATACTGAGTGATATGATATATATTATACACACTGCTCTGCTTTCTGCACGGACCTCACAGCTGTTCTCACTGTAAACATCGCGTCGCGATGAAAGCAGTTAATAAAATAATATCCAGGGGATGCATGCAGAGCTGTCATTGGCTGAGATAAGTCACGACTCTTTGAAACATCTCTGTTCCCGGAAATGCATCCACGGAGGAGCCGTGGAGGACCCATCAGTGTATCCTCGGTTATAGCTCCTCCAGAGAGCCTCCTCGACGCTCGATGCTCGGTCCTCGATGTGCATTTCGAGAAATGAGATGTCCTTCAACATGGCGCGCTAAAATTCATTTCCGGGTCACTACCGGAGGACCGAGGAGTCGAGGAGTCGAGGAGTCGAGGAGGAACATTTGAAGACATGAGAAAGGGCCCATGTGACTCTGACTTGAACAACACTGATTTGAACCTGTATCAAAACTTAAATTACAGCTAAAACACTGGCTTTAAACAGAACTGACAGAGCTTTAAAGCTGAACATGTTGACAAACAAAAGGCATACCGACTATGTGTGCTGTGGAGTCTGGTGCTCAAACAATGACTTTTCCTCACAACACTGTTTAAGTGTACCTGCTTTCTAGAATAAGGGCTGCGTTAAGTCAAAGACCAAATCACAAGCGACAACGAGGGCTCCCACTGACTGGATGAAATAATGTCTGATGAAAATGATACGAGGCGACGAAATATTTGAACCTATCAAGACATAAAACATGTCACAATGTTTTAGCGCGTTGCACCTATTTAAGAAGTTTTTATATTGTACTGATACTGACTACCACTCTGATCATATTCCCTTCCTCAATACTCCTGAAGAAGCAAAGAACGATCATCAATGACAGAGAGCATATGAACTGAATCATTACTCTGTGTCCGCTTCACGCTCAGAAGGGAATATCACGTCTCATCATCGTGGGTAGCGAGACCAATCACTTTAGAAACACATTTCTCAAGTCAGAAACTATAGAAATGATCCCTGAAAGTATAGTCTTAACCTTACGTTGGCTGAAAACGGAACCTAATTCACAAGACTACCTTTCTCAGTCATGGTTCCTCCCTACCGTAATATCTGACAGAGGTCACCACTGAATGAGTACCTCACAACTTTTAATAGTACCTACATCAATTTAGTCTAATCTTTTAAAACAACAGTTTTATTCAATCTCACAGTTCAATTCTATAGACCCACAATGCATTGCGAATTGAGTCACACAACGTCTGTGCTATTTGTTGTGTGTTTTATACGGATTGTACGAGCCGAACCTACACAATTAACGGTAGTTTTCAATGCTTAAAAATAAGTCAACAGCGACGAAATGTAAAGCACTCAAACAGTATTTAAATTGGTTTACATGTGATATATGCTGAACGGTGCGTCGTATCTAATGTTCCTGACAGAAACAGGTCAGCGAAATGAAGTTCCGTGTTTTACTCCAACAATGGATACGCATAGTTTTAAAAATGTTAACATTAAAACTTTGGAAATAACCACGCAGAATAAGTGGTAAACGATTACGGACAGCGAAATTATATTGTAAAATATGGGGGCGCTGCATGTTTTACTGTGACACACCGCTACTGTTGCAGTTTCATCAGTAGGCCTACTGACACACGATGGCAGCATTTCTGTAACAACTTTATCGAGGACAAATTCATTAGAAGTAGCCTAGAAGAGCTCCTCCATCCTGTTCTAAAAACAAGTAACGTTAAAGAACACACTCTCACAAATATGGTCTTTAAAGCTGTATAACTTATTCATAACTTATGACATCTGATAACAACACTTACATTGTGTACCTTCTTCTGCAAAAGGTAATTAACACAACATGCGTTTAACGAAAAATAATGACGGCAGGTGAGGTAATGTTATTATTATTATTTTTTGTAAGATACATTTCTCTAAACAAACACACATTTATAAATATTGGAAGAGAAGATAACAACAGTATTATGGGATCCGGTAACCAGCATACACCATAAGCTGATATCTTAAGCGTGTGTAGCAGGTTATCATTTTAGCCTCATAACTACCAACAATGTGACAACAAACTTACTAAAGTCCTCAGCAGATTTGGGAGTTCAGCATTCAACAAATAAACATACCCTGAATAAATTAAAATGGTGTGATATCTCCATCTTTGTCAGTTTAAAACAAATTACTTAAAGGTGGGGTATGTCATTTATTTCAGAAACACTTTATGTTATATTCCATGGAATGCTCTTAACATCCCGATAGCAATGAATATATTACATTCTTTGACAATAAATCATAGACTGTATATATAAATAAAATACATTAAAAAATGTCATCTGTGGAAGCCGTAGCGCTGTAAAAAGCACGACCAATCATTTTAGCCCGCCCAGCTAAAATAACTGGATGGCCTACCTGCCTGTCAGCCTTCCATCTGTGCACAAACTTATCTCGTGCCCTCATTGGTCATGTGCGCGTTCGTGTGTGTTGGAGGAGGGGCTCTGTAAGGAAGTCCGAAGGAAGAGGCAGATTTTTTCCGGTTGTGTACTTTCAAATTCTAGTGCACTCGAGCTGGTTTCTCCAAAATGACATACCCCACCTTTAATGTGTTTCCTTGTGAATGCTCAGTGAATAAATTAGCATGTCTGCTTAAAATAGTTTATTCATGCATGGAAATTAAATCACCAGGTCCACTTGTGGGGACAAATTCATTATTGCAAACACGGTTAGCATTATTTACATCATGAGAAAAAAGTTTCCAACAACCTTCATTTCAATATATTTTAAATATATTCCACATTTCCACATCAAGACACAAAAAATTCACAAACACTCAAAAATGATATTCAATGATTCGTGCTATATTAAAAACATTAACGATTGGGTCACAAAACACATAATGTAGTCATTGCACATGTTCGGCAATTATGTTGCTGTATAGAGCTACACAGTGCTGAATAAGTAGCTTAGTTTGGCTTGCTATGTGATATTTTCTCAGATGAGAAAGGGAATGTAAAGAAGGCACTGATGTGGATATCTATGTCATATATCTTGCCATATATATTGTCATACATGCAACTAAGACAACACAAAATATCCAAAACCTTAATTGATCCAGTCATGTCATATAACAGTACAGTCACAATAATACAAAAAAAATATCCACCATGTTCTATGCTGTCCAGGTCAAAGACATAACCTATGTAGTACTATTAAAATAATATAGCATCCTTACTAATGGTGTGTATATACTCTCTTAGTGTAGTAAAATAAACTATACTGGCTTTAATAGATGTGATCAAACTAAATGTAAGCGAGAAAGAGACTGAAATAGATACAAATAAGAAAAGACAATAAATATGAACTATAACTTTGTTTAATTCTCTAATTTCAGTGTTTTATTTATTAATGTTGTGCTCTTTCAGTTGTTATAGCTTGTAGTGCAGTGTTCTTTCTTACTTTAAAAGGAATATATTATAAATGTAATTGGTAATTAAAAAAGCTCATCCATTAAGTGAAAACATTATAAGGGTTGGTCAAACTTAAAAAGTAAAACAACAGTTTTCATAGCGTTTTTTAAATGTATAGCAAATATAAATAATCATTGGTTGTAGCCCTACTAACTTGTAGAGGTGCTCGGAAAGTAAAGACTACACTATAAATTATATTTGGCATCAGATCAACTGGAATGACTGGTAAAACCAGAGGTAAATGGTAGTGATGTCAGTCAGCTGTGTTCAGGTCCAATGGAGATCTGTCTTATTAACAGTGTTGTGGACTCAGGCCACTAGATAAGAGATGAATTTGACTTATTCCATTTCAGAACTACTTCTTCATCTTTTCTCATCCTCCTCCTCTACATCTTCTCCTTGTACTTCCTCCAGAGCTGCTTCACTTGTCTCCTGGCTCCAGAGCGGACACAGCCGGAGAAGGAGTGGTGTCGGCCCTTCACCTGGTAAACACCGAGCAGAGAGAGGCACCGTCACGCTGGGAGCCAGAAGTTAGTTCTTCTAAAGTAACTGTGAGTTATGCTATTGCTACAGTGACAATAATATTCAAATCACATTTACATAAAAACCGAGTGGTGTTTTTTCTTTTATCTCATACTGTTTGTTTGAGGAAAGTTACGTTAAATGTTCTCGAAAATAAAAAAAATACTTTGCAGATACTTTTGAACTGTGAAAAGACACTGAGGATCTAACTCACTGTTGCAACTTCACCTTGAAAATGTGCCAGTTTTGGAAGTACAAGTTATGGTTAAAGTGACGAAATGTACACATGGCATGTATTTCTGTTTCAAAGAGAGACAAAGCTAGCAAGGCGAAAAACACATTTAGCACGTAACAGAACATTTGGCTGTAATTAAGTTGTTAGTATCTGACTTAACTCAAAATTGCATTAGAGTAGAAACAGGCACAATCAAGGTGAAGGTTGAACATGTGAGTTTTAAAGCCATATTACTATTGACAAGTCATATTCCAGGTCAAATGGTTAAAGGTAAAAGAGGAAAAGTGAGGGTTATTATTGTAGCTGATTTGGTTGTCACTTTCAAATATGTAATGAATATGTTTTTGAAAAGAATACTCAAACTCTAGATATCAAATTCAAATGATGAGAACAATGAAGATCAGGAACTTATTATAACTTTATGTTGTTAATGCTGGTACTTATCTGCCTGCAAGCTCCCTCTTCAGACAGGATTTAAAGGAGACGGCACGCTCCAATGATTTATATCCCTAAGAGGTCAGTAGATAGGACGTCATAGCAGAGGAAACAAGTTGAAGAGAAGGATGGGGAATAAGAGAGGCAGAGAACAGATTTGTGAGAGGAGGGAGAGTTTGTAATGATGGCAGCAGAGATGAGTGTGGCAGAAAGAGAAAAGATGTAAGCAAAGCAAAGAAAGACAGAAAACTGTTAATGAGCCAAGACTGTGAGGCCAAGACAGACAGCATTCAAAGCATCCCATAACTTCTAGGTCCACTGTTGTGAATGTAAGTGCTGCTTTGAGCATCTTTTAAGCTTGTAACAACCTTACATCTAATGTATGTGTTTAACTGCTGTTGTAAATGAGGCTCTTGAGTGTAGTGTTGTATCACAATTCCCCACTAGAGGGCAGTATCCCTCCTCTGGAAGAACACTGTGAAGTAGCTCGAGGTGATTTCCAGTTCAGTTTTTTATCGCTTCATGTAATTCAGTGATGTTGTTAGCAGCTTCTTCCTAAGAGCTGTAAACCCTGTATGGCCAAGATATAACCCCCTGAGAAAAGGCACAACCATGTCAATATGTGTATGTTCCTGCATTCCTGTTCTTAGTCTTTAATGAAAGCTCATAATCAAAATGTATTTATGGGTTATGGTATTCCGTGTAGTTTTACACCTATGATTATTTTAAAGGGTTGTTTTTGTTACTCTGGCCGCAGGATTTGTTTCCTGTAGTTATTGGAGTTCATTTGCAGGGGCAGCAGGGCGATAATGGCCAGTGTTGTTTTAAAATAATTTACAATGAACAACCTTTTAAACAGCAGGGGGTCTGGTAGTTATAGCAATTACTCTACAACTCGAACAAACAAAGCCCACTTTACAAAAACAACTGTTAGATTGCTACCTTAATGCTGATCTTTTCCCTGTTCTAATTATTTGCCATTGTTCACATTTTCTTTTTAAATGTGTTAACCTATGACAAGAAGGTGTCATGTCATCTTATTGTCCTCGCTGTGAATTATATTTGGCCCATAGATCTATCATTTTAGGCTGAGTAGTTAGTCTGAAATTGCTTTGTCTCCACTGCAACACTTATTGTTTCTTTCCTCACCCTGGCTCCCCTGTGCAGCCGGTCCTTCATTATTCCAATGAACTCCTTGTAGGAGAGCTGGTCGTCGTGATCCACGTCAAAGATCTTGAAGATGGTGTGTACGAGGTGACGTGTCAGCTTCAGCCCAGTGGCCACATACACCGCTCTTGCAAACTCATCTGGTAGAAGAGAGAGCAAAAACAATTCTGATTAATTCGGCCACTTGTTGTACACTAGGAACCCACCATCTGTATGTGTAAGCAGAGACCCTCGGTGACTGTAGCCTGCAGCACTTCCTACCTTGTCCAATGGAGCGAGAAGCAAAATTGTACATCTGCATGGCAATGGCAAAGTCCTCGAGGTTGTTGAGAAACTGGAAGAATGATCTGAACTCATCGAAGGTGATTCCCTGAAATACCAGAAAACAACACGTGAACCCCCCCAGAAATTGACTCAAGGGAGAAATATATTGATGAAATATTGATCCTGTCAAAGGACGTTGACAGACGTGCATATAGCATTCAATGAGGCAAATCCATTCTGTTGTCTGAAATATTAACCAACTAAAACCAGCTGACCATAACTCATACCATCAATCAATAACTGAGAGATTCCGTGAAGAAGTCCTATTAATGACATAAAAGGTCATTAATACCAGCATTGTGTGTGCATGATATTGACAATTTCAAACCTTCTTGCAGTGTTTCATACAAAGTAGTTGCATTCAATGCTAAAGCCATTCAACAAGTAGCTGTAGAAACCCCATGCTCTTTGCTGTGCATCATAAATCTAACTTGTGGCGGCTAAATTAATAACACACAGTATACAGTAAACAAAACCATACACTTCAACAAATAAGGAAATGCAGTCTTTGCAGGTTAAAATGAAAGGATGCAGATTAAAATACACAGAAAAACTACTAGTGTATCTTCCCCGACATGGAGAAAGAAATAAGTAACTAAATAGCAGGATAGACAGATTGTAACTGTGGGTTGTGTATCGTACAGGCAGAGACCAACCTCCTGCTTCTCCCACAGCATGAAAAGGAAAGAAGGGAGGGACAGAAATAGAATAGGGTTGCATAAGATGGCAATGTATAGCAATGTAGATAGATAGATAGATAGATAGATATTCCCATGCAGCTATACAGTATGTGCACTTGTGTGTGATTGTGTGTGTGTGTGTGTGTGTGTGTGTGTGTGTGTGTGTGTGTGTGTGTGTGTGTGTGTGTGTGTGTGTGGTCAAGTGAGGCAGTGGAGCGCTGAAGTGTGGAGAGCCACAACAGCCTCGGGGTTAGACAGTGGTGGGAAATTACGAATGCTCTAGATGGCTGGAAGGCAAGACCATAAAGCAGGAGGAAATCAAACAGATAAAGGATAAGGAAAGGTATCTGGTGTTATCTAAAATGTGCAACATTCTCTAATTACACATTTTACTACCACCTTTTGGTTATTCTGCAGCTATCATGTTTTTTTTTGCTTCATATTTTTAGTCCATGCTTCAAAGAGGACCTTATTAACTTTAGGAAATGTTAACGGATTATTACCTGACATCCTTACGGGCGCCATTAATTCCCAGAACTACAGCATACAACAGGGGATGGGTCTTTTAACAGGGGGTACGTGAACCCTATTCTGTCCTCACAGTTACTGCAGGGAGGTCACCAATTATTGGCAGATAATACTTTGACATTTTTTTTTGCTTTTAGAGACTAGAATGTCTGAAAAAACAAATTGGACCACCTTACTTGACAAGAGTGTATGTCTCAAAGCCATTGGGTAGGACACAATGTTTTGTGTCGAAAACTAAATTTAAAGGAACGTTAACATGTTATTCAGATGTTGTTGTTGTTGTTGTTGGATAAAGATAGTTTTATACTAGCGAACCAACACCTAACACGCAGAGACGCAAATAAAATGGCGGCTTCACAAAAACTTTTCAGAGTTTTATGGGCCGTGGTTTGCAATTCACCCAGCCAATCAGAAATGGGAACCTTTTTCTCCCCAGGAAAGTCCCTGCTCTCTAGCAGGGACTAAAACATGGGTGAAAAGGTTAGCAAAAAAAAGTTCTAGTTCCAGATCTTTTTGGTGTGAATGCAAAATCCCAGGAACTATCGGAACTATTCCTGGGAAAAGTACTCCGGTGTGAAAGCGCCTATAGATTTGAGGTATTTTTAGTGTGTGTTCCTTGGAAATAAACAGTGTGCTTGTATGTAGTTTACCTTCTCGTCAGGTATACAGTGGCGGACATTCTCCAGGTAGGCGCTGATGTTCTCCACATTGGTGAAGCGAAGCAGGATTTTGGCAAAGTCTTCTTCACTGATGGTGGTCATTCCTTTAGAGTAAGTCAGAAACTCAATTTCCAACATTTCTGTTTGGAGGTTATCCATAAACCTGAAAAACAGCCAGGACAGGAAAGGAGGAGAAATATATTTTACCTTAAGCTTTATCAAAAGAAACATGTTGCTATTTTGTGAATTTGTACCTGTAGAAGTCATCAAATGTAAGCTCTGCCTTCCCTTTCTTCCCAAAGAAATGGACCAATAGGGTGGTGTCGATTGTGATACTCTCATCTGCTCGCTATGAATCATCAGAGAGGGAAAAGCGACAGAGAGGATCAATGAGTGACTGATCAATAAACATCAAGCAATGTGATTGGAGGAAAAGCAGTGGGCGGGTCAAGTCCATCATCATCAATCCAACATGGCAACCGTGGTGCCAGGCTAGCAGGAAGCATCAACAACAAACTGTCAATCAAACGATCAGCTCAGACAAACAGTCAGCGGCCATCATGACATCAAACCGGTCTAGGCAGCAACTATGTTTAGGTTAAACCTCTTAAATGCGATGAGTATTGTGATAAATAACAGGCAGGTTCAGAATATTCCCACAATGATGGCAAAATGAAACTTAGATGAAACACTTTAAAGCTTTCAATATAATTAAGTAAGTGAAGAGAGAAATTGACAAAACGGGGGTAATAAGGTAAAAATGGACAGAAATGTTTTTGTCCATTTGACTATTTGCATTCTACAAATCAATATTATCCTTATCATTTGTTTTTGATAACAAAGAAAGGATATTAAATGAGAGGTATGGAGATATTTTTTTAATTTCATGCTGCCTAGACTGGTGAAGAGAGTTGCTGTAGCAGCATGAAACACAGACATCTTCTGGTCTGGTGAAGACACAAGGAGGGTTCGGACAGCAGAACACAAAGAGACACAGAGACACAATGAAAAACAGAGTCATGCAAATATTCATCGAGCCGGGAGCTGTTGAGCAAGAAAGTATAAGAAGGAGACACGAGCTGGAGAGTGTAGTCAATTGAAACAGCAGAGGTGAGAGAAAGAGAGATGGACAACTAATGGCGAGACATACAAACACACATAACGACATGCACTTCTCTGAATGCCACATTGACACTCATACACAACTTTGAATCAACAAGAGCAGCACGCAACAAACACACATAAGCACAAATGCAGAGAACAAAGCCGATCCCACCTTTTTCTGTCAACGGACGAGAATTATAGTGTTATATTTTCAACCTTTTGTTTTCCTTTTTATATTTTGACTTTGGTAACATATTCTTTAATTTAATACTTTGACTGTCTGGCTTCCCTCCACAGTTTGCAAGCATGTTTAAATGATTGATCCGGGTCATTTGAAACACATTTTACAGGCTTTAGGATGTTTGGTCTCATGCTATAATTTGTTGCTGAACATTTTCTAAATCCCTTACAAAAACAGGGTGAGTTTTATAAGGCTTCAAGGAAACTGTGCTAAGTATGTACTTCATGTCAATGCTCCCTTACACATGTATCTCAGAAAAAGGTGACTGTGCTTTACCGCAGTTCCAGAAAAGACTCAGCCAGCTTCAGTGCTTAAAGAGAGGATGTCAAACGGCCATCTTTATTCTCTCTATCTGCCATGCCCCACCCAGCCAACCCCCTCTGTCCAATCCACGGCCATGCTGAGCTATATGCAGACATATCAAGTCCTTCTAAAGTGGAAAAGCATTTCCATCATCAAGATATTGATCATCATCACAACCACAATGCCATTTGTGGTTCTACCTCAAGAGTAAAATCCTAAAATCCGACGTGGGACAAGAAGAAAATGTCACACAAAATCACACAGGTTTACAAACTATAAAGATTCACATCTCTGACAGATGTTGAATCTGTTGAGTTGTTTGTAGCGTTGTTAAATGTATATTCATTCTGTCAATAATTAGCACGTGATCAGAACAGAGTTGGTGGGAAAATGATGGAGAAAGTAAAAGACAAATTACAAGGAAATCAGAAGCATATTTTTCTATTTCAAGAATGAGACGGATGACACCCACTTATAGCCACCAAACGACACTATTAATAATCTAATATGGTGAGATGTAGCAGATTAGGGACTAACCAAATTTGAATGGACATACACTGTAGTCACATAACTCAGAGGATAAATATGTCTTCTCGGAAACAAACATTTAAAGTAAACCCTCTTTTAGGGCCACAAACATTTGTGTGACTCGTATCATTCAGTCTGTTTCTGATTCACATTGCAGTCTGGTCTCAGTCTTTGATTAGGAAGTCTTCTTTGATATAAACACAGACAAACGGACCTCCTATTTAAGTGTCTTGTTTTCATTGTCTCACTTATTCCAAGGTCTTTTCTTTAAGTCTCTGATTACTGACAAATGGGATAAAGTTTAATTTACTCTTTTATCTTGTGACTGACACATTACTGATGTCTTATGACACATGAGCAGTTCATACATCTAGACAGCATCCAGGTGCTGAGTCTCTGGTGAATTGTAAGTCTTGGTCATTGGCATCTTTCTCAAATACAGCAAGAATACTAAGCTTTAAAAAATTCCAACCAATGTGAGTTGGTTCTATTTTGTTTTTACAGAGTAAAGGTACAACACAAAGATGTTGAACCTTCTTATGATTATGTGTTAATGTTACTTTCCAGTTTGTTTGTTTCCCTGCAAGTATGCGTGTTGTGTTCGAAGTCCAACTAAGTCTGACCTCAGGTAAGACGTAATGCCAAACTGATCAAAACAAGCTTATCATTCCTGGAAGTGTGGCAGCAGCAGTGTGAGCTCATCATCCCCATGAAAACGTAATGGTTACCACGCCCACAAGACACGAGCCAACACCTGGTGTGTCTATTTGTCCATCTGTGTGAGTGTGAGCGTTTCAACAGACTTTGATCATGGAGCTGAAGGTAAAAACAGTAATTACTGATGTAAATACTAAACGTTCTTCCTCACCCTCCCTATCTGTGCGTAATACCTTGGAGGAAGAGCTCATTGTCGCTCTTTAGTCAAGTCAGTTAGACTGTCAGTCACTCACACCTTACAGCAAACCCTCCCTTCCCCCCCCTCCTGTTTTATCTCTCACCTTGTGTGTCTCCCCCCCATCACTTCTTTCTCTTTTATCCTGCCTCTGCTCTGATTTCCTTTCTCCTCATGCTACCCGTCAGTACCTCCTTCACCTGACAAACATGAAGGTGATTCGCTCTTTCTTTCCCTCCCTCCTGCTCAGCCTGTCAGTCAGTTCCTCCTTCTCCAGACAAAAGCAAAGATCTATAATGGTGACTAATCTGTTGAGTAAACACATCTCTCTCTAAATGCAACCTGCTTCTTTCTTTTCCCCTAAAAGTGTTTCCCGAACATCTTCTCTCCCCCACCCACTTTGTTCCTCACCATTTGACCTGTGTCATCTTCTCCCACCTGTTTGTTGTCTCCCTGATTGTATCTCTTCCCTTTTTTCTACCCCCTCAGGTTCCCTATGCTTATCTGATGTGGTGTTCTTAAAGATTTGTTACAGTTTTAAAATGTTCTTTCACTTGTAATATTCCCTTTTTAGTTTTATATATTTGAATCACACTTTCAATGCCCCTGTTTCTCTTGCTTTTATTTTCCTCCCCCATAGTCTGATTCGTCTGTTCTGTCCGTCTGACATCCCGTCAGATGAAAGGCTGCTGGGTGTAAATACAAGGTCAGTCCCATTATGCTCCACTGTCATTATCTCCACCTCAGCTTCCGCTGCCACCAGAGCACATAGCCTGTCATTAGTCACTTAGCTTACTAGCACTGTTAGCTGTTATTTATCATTCCCAGTAGCTTCACCTTCTGTTAGGAAGACTATTTTAGTTTCACATGCACAAGCCATTGGCTTGCAACAATGGGGCAGTCTGCTGACAGACAGCATTTTAAACAATGCAAAATGTTTTGATTTTTAGTTCTGTTTGATTTCAACAGATCGTAGGCCATTCTAGTCTGTTTCAAGATGGCAATGGCAGTTTGTCTCGTCCACCTCTTTGGTTGACTAAAATATCTCATCGACTTTTAGATGGATTGCAATTCATTTTCGTACATATATTCATGTTCCCCAGAGGATAAACCCAACTAACTGATTTTTACTCTACTACCAGAGGTTGACATTTCTTTTTTTCATAGTGAATTGTCTCTACTATTATTGGACGGATTGCCATGAGAAATCTTTAATCTTCCAAACACTTTGGTTCACGATGAAATACCTGCAAGTTAATAACGTGTCCCTCACTGTACTTTGTGTTTAGTGCATCCTGACCCGCTACACATGGCATACTCTACTTAACGAAATATCAACAGTATTATTGTTTTTAGCATGTTAGCATGCTGACGTTTGCATTGAACTTAAAGGTCCACTTTGTTTACATACAGCCTAACAGATCTGTGCATGGCTGTAGATAGTGGGTCTTGTTTTTCTAATTCTATCCAAAAAATGTTTTAATAAACATTTTTTTTAAATCTTGAATGTTGAAAGTAGATGTATAGGGTTGTTTGAAAGCATTACAAAAGCAACAGACCATTGTGTTTACACATCTACCTCAGTGTGTGGTGCTATAACAATCCAGTTTTTGTTTCTGCTTTGCTGTCAGCCTTCTTATAATTTTAAAGTGTCTTAAACATGTTGTTGAGTAAACTCAGAATGACTAGACATCAAAGCTACAACACTAGCCACAATACAGCACAGATAACAATGCACGGATACACATACAAAAGCATAACGAAGAGACCAAACGGCAGTAGGCAGGTGAGAAACAGAACAGGTTATCAGAATACGCACATTACAACATCTATTATCGTACTACCATTATTGGATCAATACTGTCACACCAATACAGTAAGTAAATCCTTAAAAAACAATATTCTCCAACAACAAATATTAAGAACTCAAATGTGTTCTTCAGTAACAAATGAGTGACACAAAGAAATGGGTGAAACACTTCAAATGTTTGGAGGAGCCTGGAGTTATCTTTACCCACAACTTTCTCTCAGTTGCAGATGAGATCACTTTAATGAACATATTCTGTTCAGTGCAAGAAAGTCTATTAGAACTCATCCAAACAAAAATGATTTTATTTTATTTTTTTATAAATGGAGGAATGACAGTATGTATCATACTTAGGGGTGTAAAACAGTATATAAAGATACTTAGAAATCTGAATTATATAGGAAGTAATGTTTATAGGTAAGACAGAATGAAAGAAAGATGAGAGTCTATGTAAATTATCGGTATCAAGCCAAACCAGAATAAGTGTTATTTTTTCCATATAAGTCCATATTGACAAACATGTTATTTTTATGGCAATGAGAACATGTCAATCAAAACATTTGCTATCTGCAAAAACGTTTAAGCATGATTGCACTACAAAAGTTAAAAATAAAGGCCCTCAAAGCTTTTATTTTGAAAGAGAAATTGTCTAGTCTTATTCTGGCCAAGCTTGATGCAGCTACATAACTCTGGATCTATGGGGGGAGTTGGAGGATCAACAATAACTACAGGGAACTAAAGAGGAAGAGTGATGGATGAAGAATGGGGGGACAGAGGACAGTAGGGTCAGTGTACCTCTGCCAGGTCAGAAAAAAGGACTTGACTTGCGCCTCGCCTCAGAACGTCCCAGTAACTCCGCGCCACAAACTCCTGACTGTCTTTTTTTAGCACCTGTAGGAGCGGTCAAGCAGGGCCAGAGTCAGTTCACCTACAACTCAACCACTTTATGAAGGAAACATCAGCGTCCAATATTGACTCTATCAAATCTCATATACAAACAGATATAGTTGATTTATATGTTATCATTACATTACTTATACTGTACATATAGAGCATATTCATGAACAGTGTGTTAAACATCCTATTGAACCACCTTCTAAGGGAAACTTCATATTGTTCAGTTTTGACAAAACGGAGAGAACAAATAATAAACTAATAGTAAACTGACTAGTACTAAGGTACTGGAAATGTTTTGCTAACTCTACATTGGTGAGTGCTGTTTATTAGAATAATTTGCAAAAAACAACTAGTGAAGAGGGAAAATGTGAATGTTTATAATAGTTGTTCTGTCATCACTACAGTTTACAGTAGTGATATCCATTTGTAATGTTAGATTTAACAATAAATTCACCCTATCAACTGTGATAAGCACCAGGCATAGAAACCTCTGTAATTGTTTCAAACAAAATAGGAATGAAGGGATGGTCAAATGTAGGTTTATGTAATTAACCTCTAAAGCTTTTATGTGCGCTGCTCCTCTAGCTTGGAACACTATGCAAAACAAATTGAAACTGAGCATTTTGGTTCCCTTGCATCATTTTAAAGCTCGCCTGGATGAAATGTTATTTGATACCTGTCATTGTGAATAGGTTGCTAATTTGTACCCCTGTAATTATGTTGTATGATGTCCTTTTTGTTTTCTGTTGTTTTTCTGTGTAACCAATGTGCTGCAGGTCTCCCTTGAAAAAGAGATCGTTGATCTCAATGGGATTCACCTGGTTAAATAAAGGCTACAAACAAACAAACAAATACAAAATTCCCCGACCCAAAACATTTTCAGATGAGTCGTCTGAACATTTTGCTGTCCCAAACGCCACAAAAAAGAGCTGCTGCCTATCTGAGCGTATCCTGCTTTGATAAAAGTCGACCATGCTGCCTATCTCCTGACCACCCACCACGCCTGTCTCTCCAGGGACAACGCAGCAGCAGCCATTTTAACATGACCCTGCACTGCTCTTAACTTCACAGTGACAATGCAGCTATCAATCATGACACCGACAGAAGGAGGAGGTGTGTGTGTGTGTGTGTGTGTGTGTGTGTGTGTGTGTGTGTGTGTGTGTGTGTGTGTGTGTGTGTGTGTGTGTGTGTGTGTGTGTGTGTGTGTGTGTGTGAGACATAGAGAGAGAAAGAAAGAGTGCTTCTAGTCTGACAAGAGGCCAGTGGCTGGTAGTTTACAGTTACTGGACAGCACACATCCATTCTGACATTTTTGCTGCACTATACTACATCTGCATCAATACATTTTCATCACCCTTGGGCTTTAGCAAACATGTCCAGTGGTTATCATCATATCTCTCTGTTGCCTTGAAATATCCTGCTCTCTATGCGTGTTAACAAACCCCCAACAGAGACAGACACATTGCCAAACAAACAGCACACGTCCCAAAACAGTCTGAAATGGACAGTGTCTGATTGTGTTTAAAGCTTTAGAGTGCCTCAAGTCATTTTAAATCACATCACTCTCTTTTTGCAAGAGTTCATCTCTCCTGACCCCTTAAATCTATTACTCCTTCACTGCCATCCCCTCTCCATTCATCCCACCCTCTGCCATCGTCCCCCGATCAATCAGCCAGCTGACCTGACAGATGGACGCTCTTGAAGGAAGTCTCTCTCTATCCCGCTTATTCTTTCTTTTCATTCATCCTTTCAACTGTCTACTGTGTTCGTTTGACTGACAACAGAGGATCAGGTGGACTGGGTCAGGGTTAGGCGTTTTTCAAAGACCAGGTCAGGACACAAAAGTGGGTGACAGAGGCATTAAACAAAGTCCTCTAAGTATCCCAATATAATTGACATATACACCTTACAAACGTACCAAAGTCCCCGGAATGAAAGGGTGAAATTTACTTGACAATTTTACTTGACAATTTACTTGACACTCTATTGGACAGAGCAGTGCTTCCTCGCTGAGCTTTGGATGAGAAGGTCTATACCACTCTTGAGTTTGAATAGTAAATATGAAGCTAGAATCAGGTGACGGTTAGCTAAGCATAAAGAATGTAAGCGGGGGAAACAGCTAGCCTAGCTCGGTTTGAAGTTAAAAGAGAAGCCTCCTGATAGGCACAGGGACTCTCTGCAGTATTTTTGTCACCGTACTGTAAGTTTGCCAGGCAACCAGAAGAGAGGTCCCAATAAATAGTCTTACGCACAATCCCCTATTAAAACCACAACATACAGTGCACATAGGTGTAATTACAGGTGTTGGTAGGCCGATTTCAGTACCTGAAATGTTTCATTGGACTAGGCTAGCTGTTTCCCCCTAGCTTGCTTCCAGTCTTAACGCTTAGCTAAGCTAACAGGCAGTTTGCTTTAGCCATATCATCTATAGATTTAAGAGTGGTATTGATCTGCTGACCTCACTATTGGCAAAAAAGTGCAAAAAAGCGCAAAAAAACTATTCATTATTTACGTAATTATTCACAATATTGCCCAATGCAAATTAGGATGATTGATTGAGTCATTTTACCCAAAAATAAGGTCAAAGAAATTATAAATGTTTTGATTAGTAAGATGTTATGCAGAAAACCTAACACTTATTATTTTATCACCACAATGTTTAAGTCCCATATGTGGTTTATTTATATTTAAAAAAATTACGTTTTCTGCCTTCTTTTACAAATGAAACAAAGTATTATGTCGCAATTTAGCTGACAGAAACAGCTAGCTGTCTGTTCCTCTGTTTATCCTTCCATCCATTTCTTAAACCATCAAAAGACGAGCAGAAGAGAGACTAAGGGGTTATGGTTTTGGATACATACGCTGTTCATGGGGGCAACCTGATATCCATAGAGCTGCATACTCTAGCACACAGAGAGAGACACGAGAAAGAGGAGTACAGAGCATGCAGTCAGAGAGGAGGAGGGAGGAAGAGAGAAGGTAAAATACATGTTAGTACATGCAGAGAGGCTGTGGATACGCTCTTCAGAGGGATGTGTCATTTTCAACACATCCGTGATCACATTTTAGAACAACACACACTTTGCATTACAACACTTTGAACGGAGGATTTGTAAAACTTGATCCGTGTGAGGAAAAGTGTATATGCTTTGCATGGGTTTTTATTACCTAGAGATTCAAGCCCATCCAACACTTGGTTTGGGAATAAAATACAATATATATTTGTACAGTTACAGTAAAGAAAAATATATTATTCCATATTTAGGTCGGCAACCTTGAGAGCCTTGAAAGGAGCCTATATAAATAAAACGTATTATTGTTATTATTATATTTGGGTTGGCAGATATTTAACATTTCTGTACAAAACTAGCACTTTTAAAACGGAAGCACTATTATATTTTTGTATTTAGATGTATAGCACATATTTTGTATAGTATTTTATATATTCTGTACAGTTGTTTATTACTCTTTTGTATATATATATATGTTCCTTGTACATTTTCTGGTAGTATTTGTGTCATGTTTTATTGTATTCCACTTTTCCATTCCACATTTTTACTATACACAATACTTTTTAAAAATAATATATGTGGTTAATTATTATTGAAGTCTCTCAATATGTTAATGTTATGCACCAATACACATGAATTGTATGTGAAAACCTTCTTGGCAATAAACTAGATTGGATATTCTGATATTGGCATGTCTAGATATTAGCTGACATATTGTCATTTGGCTCTAATTCAGCATGAAGGTTTTCAAGCCTGCAGCTATAATGATAAAAAAACATTGTTCAGTGTAGTAAACCATAGTGACCTCTGTTGTTCAAAACCAATCACAGAAGTGTCAAAAAAGACACATTCTTTTAAGAGTGTATCCCATATAACAAGTTCACAGTAAAACAGAGGAGATACCACACTGTCAAAACAGTCTCTATAAGGGAGCATGCACTCAAACATGATTACATGAAGGGTTTATCTAACTGTAATACTTGCTTAAATATAGATGACAACAAACTTGGATGATGATCTGTCATTTTCAATACATTCTTAAGACACAGCATTTGTTTTATACCTTAAGAAACCGAGAGGTGATGGATGCATTAAAATGCCATTTTAAAAGGGAAGGAACTTTACAGTAATGTGTTATTTTTATATTTTAACTGGTACATTAACCAAAAGTTAAATAGCAGCATCACTGATGTCCATAGTATTAATGTTTTCTTCACAATTGGAGCGATTAGTGAAATAAGTTTACCTACCTCTCCTCACACACAAACACACACTTGTCCCAGGTTACCAACTTTCTTACCAGCTGTGCCGACTTCTCCGCATCTCCTTTCCTCCCTCTTTTTTCATTTTTTTTCCGGAAGATCTCCTGAAGCTATAATGAGAGAAAGCTCTGTTTGAAGCTTTGAAATGATCATATGCACACAAATTCAATGTGCACAGGTTGAAGTTAAATAATTGTTTTCATACTGGTCTATGATATGATTCAAGTATGGGCCTTTTGACAACTTAAATTAAGAGATTATTTGTCTCTAGTTTGACATTTAAAGGGATTTATGGTCACATATTGTATATTCAAAGTTAAATCAATACTGAAACGCTTGATGCAGAGAACTTCAGTTGTATTACTAGTAATAGTTCATTCATCACTATTCCCTTTGATTGACTACAGATGTCAATTTTCAGCAGAAAGATCATAGTTTATCAGCAAACACTAATTTTTTAAGGTATACTCCCACAAGATCATCAGCCATTACCATCCCACTCCCAGCAGCCTCCACAGGGATTATGATCACTTCCTGCCTGCAGCAGTGTTTTCAGTTGAAAATCTGTTGGTCCAATCCCACAGGGAAAGTGAGACACATGCAGCCATCTAGGTTTTATTCTAAAGAAATTATCTTACTCAAATGCTCTATAGATTATCCGTTGAAAAGTAAAATGGAAATCAGCTTTTAAATGCTGTGAGTGTAACAAATAGCTTCAGGCCTTTGGGATTCAAGGTTCATAAAAACATGAATCGTCCATCCCTGTTTCACTTCACACTTATTCTAAATATCTATGATATCATAGCATTGCCCATCTGTGTCAGGAGTGATGTTAAAAATAACATTAATTCAGTCATTGGGTGGATTTTCTCCCAGTATCAGAGACTCACCACCAAGAACTCCCTCTTGTCCACCATCTGGTTGCCGTCTGCATCAAACATATTGAAAGCAATCTTAAAGCCAGCATGGGGCTCTGGAGAACAGAAAGGAGAGAACATAGGGTGAGTGTGTGTGTGTGTGTGTGTGTGTGTGTGTGTGTGTGTGTGTG